CGCAATAGTATTCTCTCTTCTTGCCTGCACTGTGGCCTGTTTACAAGACCTACTGCTTTTCTCTATTTGTTTCTTCGAAACTGGTATGTCCTGATTTAAGCTTTAGCACAACAACAATGTGTTTACTTACGTTTTTGTATCCATGTCTACTTACTGTTTTTGTATAGCTCAAACACTTAAATTAGTATGCTAATTTCTTTCTGCCTATTTCTATTATGAATCCCAAACCCCTGCCCCCTATGTGTTTGAGCTACGGTTTAAGGCATGGCAATATGCAAATTATTGTCCATGAATTAAATTTGATCCATTGGGATCCTAGCCCCCCTAAATAATGTGTTCTAACAGGCTTATGGGTGTGCTAGCATTCTCCTTTGCTGGGTATGCCCACAACCTGCCCTTGCCTTTTTACACTCTCCCCATTCCCCTGAACCCCTATGTTTACTTATTTGTAACGGTTTCCCTTCCCCTTTCCCCCTCTCAGAATTTTGTTCTTGCACTTGCACTCTCTTTTAGTTTTAAGTTCTGCCCCCCTCTTGTGAGCCTTGCTTTGGGACCTTGAGTTCCCTCTGAACTTGGACACTTGAGGGCTGGCCTTTCCACACTGCACTTGTCTTAATCTGGTAATACGTTTGGGTGTGATCACTGCCCGGAGTTCATTTAAGACTCCTAGGGAACTCTGACACGCTCAAATGGGAGAAAGTCTTTGGATCGTGAATCTCTTGGAGTTGGTTTACCTCATATTTCAGACATGAAGTCTGAATCATGCACTCCTTAGTTGTACTTTTATTTTCTAATGTATTCTTTTACTCTATTCTGGGCTGAAATAATTTTGTAATAAATATTTGGGGCTGATTAGTGAAAAGGGCGGGTAGTTATGTATGCAATAAAGGATAGATACCATGTCTATAGGAATTCTGAATTTTGCATTCTCACATACATACCATGTCTATAGGAATTCTGAATTCTGCATAGATACCACGTCCATAGGTTTTCGAATTCTGCACATTCAAATGCATATAGAAGAATGTCTATAGGGAATTCTGAATGTCCATTTTCTTATAGAAATCATGATCATAGGTCTGCTACTCTCGTCTAGAAATCATGCCTATAAGTCAATCTGAATTCTGCATATGCATATAGAAAATATGCCTATAGGTCTTTTCTGAATCCTGTATATCCATTTCTCTCATATAAAAATCGTGTTCATAGGTCTTAAACAAATTTCTGCATCTAGATACCATGCTCATAGGACTTAAACATTCAATTGCACTTAGGTATTATGTCTTAAATAGAATTCAGCATCTAGATATCATGTTCATAGGTTTAAGACGAGTTTTCTGCATTTTTATACTACGTCTAAAAGGTTTTAAAATTAGTAACGCCTAGAAAGCATGCCTATACGAGTTTTTTTTTTAATCTGATTCGCCTAACTTAATGTTAGATATAAAAATCAGTAACAATAGATGTTGTCAGTTGCAAAGCGTATAATCAATTTGTTTGAATTCTGCCTTTCTTTTAATAATCTGAGTCTCTCACTTAGCCAGTTTAACGAGTACAAATATAGGGTTTCAAATAATTCATTTCAAGTTTTACTGTCTTTTGAACCATGTCTATAGGACCTTTGTCCTAACACTTAGGCAAGTCTTAGGGTGATAACTGTAAACTGAATCTGTTCTATTAACTACAACCAGCAGACATGCTTGATTCGAGCTACTTATCTGAAATATGTAATAAATCAGTCTTCCTCAACCTCTAAGTTCTTTCACATTCAGTATTTAATCAGACCCTAAACAGTACGTGCAAGACATGCTAAATTACGTGCTTCTTTGATTAAAGGAGGTATATCTAAGCCCTTTTGCCTGTTATGTGCTTTCCCCCAATTTGTTATATGTGTTCTTGCTTGTCGCCTTAGAATTTTGCCTTTGAAACTGCAAATAAGCCGATATCCCTTCCCTTTAGGATTAGTAGTCCTAAATGCCTCCAGGACTGACAGGATTGGGGCGGGTAATAGCATGCAATGAGTAAACGAGATCATTCCGCGCTTTAATACCTTAACAGGGCGGGAAGGGTAGATATGGATATAATGACACGATAATGCCACGCGCAACCCCTCATCGAGGAGTGATTACCGGGCATTGTGTGGGGTGATCCATATTAGTAATAAACCTAGGACCCCCTTTCCTTTATTTCTTATCTCTTTTAAAGAATTTCAAACTCTTTTTTTAAGAAAAATCAGCTTTCTTTTAGTTCTTTCCAACTTTATTTGTTGGTAAACCCTTATGTGAAAATCCCCCTCTTATTTGAAGCTTTGTTTTTTTAAGTGTTATTTGCACCTAAGTTCACAACAATAGTCTGGCCGGGAACCACACTAGTGGATCCTGAGGGGTGCCTAACACCTTCCCCTTGGGATAATTTCAAGCCCTTACCCTATCTCTGGTTACTCAAATCAAACTCTCTTGGTGTCCTAATGCACCCTAATCATTAGGTGGCGACTCTTTAAATTCAAACCCAATTCCCAAAAGGGAATGTGTTGTCCTCCCAAATGTCATAAACTCGATTTCGCTCGAGAAAAAGTGGGTGCGACAATTAGTTAAACAGAAGATCTTATACCTTATGTAGAATTGTACTTGGGGTAAAATTCCCCTACTATATAAAGGAGAGTCTGATTATTCATTAAGACATTGTAACGCACGCGTACCAAGGCAATATACTGTTATTTTCTATATTATTGAAAGTTCTTATTCTTGTTCATCAGTGTTGGCTACTGTGAGTCATCAAGGGCGGATATTTTATTGAGACTGTAATCATCCTCCTCAAGTGGATTGACTTTACTATGTCTTTATTTGTTTAATTTAACACAATTTATCGTTTGTATCAAATTAATTTGTGTATCCTTAAAATCACTGACATATTTAATTGTTATCCGTTTTTTTGTTGAATTGATACTAATGTAATGAATTCAGATGCAAAAAAAAGATACTTATTAGTAATTCCTAATAATTGCTAAAATATTAGTAAATTGCAAGCTGATGAATGTAAGAGACGACTCTATGAGAGAATGGCTGAGAGCAACAAACAAAAGCATCTATGGTTAGATAGGTTCTGTTAAAATGACAGAAAGAAACACTTAAGCAAAATCAGACCCAAAATATTTCATACATGTTGTGATAAAAGAGGAAATACAGCTTAATTTGGTGAGTTTCTATTCTGGATCATGTAATAAGGCTCTATTCCTGGTCCGGCATTCTATAATTTACCGCATCTTAAAACAAGCATACCCGACTTCCAATTAATTATCAGATAATGCTATCCGTGCTTAAATTCCTAGCTTGAAAGAGTTCATATAATTTGGACATCCTTTTCCGTCTTAATAAAGATAAGTCGAATAGGATTCAATCCTATTGCTGCTGTAGATTCTCCTAAAGGAATATAATTAAATGGAAGATAATAAAAATGCTTTCTCATAGATATTTTCATACAACTGATATTTGGAAAAGTTGAAATGTGTTGCAACTTTGTTCATTCTCAACTGGACACATTTATTTCAAGTCCATGGAACCGATGTAGTGAAAGAAACAATTGTAAAGCGATTAGGTGTCGGTCTATTTTCAGAAACGAAGATATAAAATTCCTTATAGATGTTGATTCATCACTGATAACTCTGTTTTCGTTTTTCTTATTTATTTAACGGTGGTGTCTGAGCTAACTTGTGCACAACTTGACTTCCTGCTACCTCCCAACGAAGTACCATGTAATTCTATCATCAAGTCTTAAGTAGATGGAAAAGGAAAATAGACGTGAACTCTGGCCTTCCATGGTTTTCAACCACTATTAACCACCGTTAACATTTCTAATAGGTTATATATGTATCCCTATTACATTTTGATGATCTAACAAACTTATCGATAAGAACCAAATAAGGAATCTGACCTCAAGAACTTAAAGATCACCAAGTCTTCAATTGAAGAAACAGTCAACTCTTCAGGGTCAAAGGAACATCAGAGGGAACAGATAGCTACCAGTTCCCGAGGAGACTGTACAAATCAACTGCCCCCAGCTGTAAAGTTGTTGATTCCACACGCTACAGTGCAGAAATAGTGCAGCAGTCAACTTTATGGGGAATGCCATTTGACTAACTTGCTTACATCATTTAAGTGATGTCACAAATGAGATATTAACATCAAGCAAAGGTAAAACAAATCACTTACACATTCAAGATCTTATCAAGCATTCTCTCAAGTCTATGTAAATCTTGCAAGTGATTCTCAAGGGCATCAAGAACGAAGAACAACATAACCAAGGACCAATTCCGTATATTGAAGTTATTACATGTACTTAGTTGTGTTATACCTTTGTTAAAGCACTCTACTTGTAATCCTTACTTATCTTAGTTAGAAGCATTGTGTAGGAAATCTTTGTAAATCATAAACCATTGGGTTTGTGTCTTGGCTAGACTTAGTCGAGTTGTAAAGTTTTTGTAATAGAGTTATTACAAAGTGTCTTGTAATAGAGTTTTACAAGTTAGTGAGGGATTAAGAGGTTAATTCCTAGGTTTAAAGTCTTTGTAATATAGTTATTACAAAGTGGCTTGTAACAGAATGTTACAAGTTAGTGAGGGATTAAGAGGTTAATTCCCAGGTTACAATAGGTTGTAATCTAAAGTTACTCAATAGTGAAGTTGAAATCCTACAAGGGTAGGTCATGGTTTTTGATTCCTGAGTTGGGAGTTTTTCACATAAAACTCCATTGTACCATTTACTTACTATAGTGTGCGTGTGTTTTGTGGAAACTAATAGAGAACCTAGTTCTCTGCAGAGTTTGGTGGACCCTTAAATTCTATCAATTGGTATTAGAGCAGGTACTTTCTATCAGGTTAATACCTACAAAGGATCCTCAAGGTCGAACCTCTAAACTTCGAAGAAGGCCATTCTATTTACAGGACACCAAGGTTCAACAACCAATATTATGAATAGTGGAAGGCTAGGATGTACGACTTCATCATGGCTGATAATTTCGAGCTTTGGGATGTCATATGTGATGGACCTTTCGTCCCTACAAAACCTATTGGTGACCCAGCTGTAACTATTCCCAAAACAAGAAAGGAATTCAATGACGCTGACCGAAAGGCCATAGAAAAGAATTTTCGTGCAAAGAAAATTCTTAGTTATGGCATTGTTCTTGATGAGTACAACATGATTTCAGCATGCCAATCAGCTAATGAGATATGGGAAGCTCTCCAAACAGCTCATGAAGGGACAACACATGTAAAGCAGTCCCAAATTGACATGCTAACCATAGAGTATGAGCTTTTCAGAATGAAGGACAATGAATCAATTCAGGGTATGTACACTCGCTTCACATCTATCATCAATGAGCTTCACTCAAAGGGAGAGATCATCCCTAGGAACAAACTCGTCAAGAAGATACTTAGTGTATTACCTGGTTCTTGGGAAAGCAAGGTAAATGCTATCACATAAGCAAAAGATCTGCAGAATCTAACCATGGACGAACTTGTTGGCAATTTGAAGACTTATGAAATGAAGAAGAAGAAGGACAATGAGAGAAGAGAGCTGAAAAGGGAGAATAACCTGGTCCCCAAGGCGGACATCAATGACTTAGGTGGTGAGGATGCTGATATGGCATAACTAACAAAAAAGTTTCAAAAATGGTTCACAGAAATGGAGGCATTCCAAAAGGGGGCAACTCCAACAAGCCAAAAGGTTATGACCTATTTCATAAGTGCGGTAATCCAGGACACTTCATCAAGGATTTCCCTCTTCTCAAGAAAGATCAATGCAAACACAACACTGACAAAGCAGTTAAGAGGAACCAAGTTCCTAACAAAAGATTCAAAAGAATAGACTCTGCCAACAATGTTATGAAACAGGCTCTTGCTACATGGGGAGACTCTTCCAGCGAATCCGGAAAAGAACCCTCATAGCAAGTATGTTATTGTACCTGACAATTGGCTTTGCACTCACTGTGGCAACACTGGGCACTTTAAAGAAAATTGTAAGGCCATAATTCAGTCTCAATAGGAAAACAATGTTTTTTGCTGAAAACGTAACTGCTACTAGGGAACCTGGTCCTTGGGAACCTAGTCCTTCACATAAAAATGTATAATGCCTACTTGGACCAAAAGAGCCCTCATTCACCCTTTTTCTCGTTACAAGGGACCCAATCTTTTTTGGGTTCCTAAGTCTAACCGTTGATTTCCTTGTGAAGGGAATAGTGAAAGGTAGCAGTCAACAGTGGTACACGGATAGCAGTTGATCGAAGCACATGACTGGAAGTACAAATGATTTCCTTTCACTGAAGGCCATGCAGGGAGGGAGTGTATCCTTTGAAAATGGCAAGAAGGGATACATTCTAGGAGTTGGAAGGATCGATAAGTCTCTTTCCCACTTTATTAAAAATACATACTATGTGAGTGAGTTGAAGTATAGCTTGCTGAGTATTTCCCAAATATGTGACAAGGGTAACAAAGTTGAATTTGTATCTAAAATATGCACAGTCACAAATCTTGTGACTGGTGAAGTGATGTTAGTGGCCAAAAGATACAAAAACATTTATGTGGCTAACTTTGAGTCCTTGCAAAATAGAGATCTTTGTTGTCTGAGTGTTGTTGATGATAATGCTGAGCTATGGCACAGAAGGTCGGGTCATGCAACTTTCACGCTGCTGAACAAATTGGTCAAGAAGGACCTGGTTCGTGATATTCCCAAGTAAAGCTTCAAGGATCATAGGGTAGGTGATGCATGTGTAAAAGGAAAGCAAGTCAGATCCTCTTTCAAGCCCAAAAAGGAAGTTAGCATCTCAAGGCCATTTGATATCTTCCGTGTGGATCTATGTGGATCTATAAGGGTGCCAAGTAAAGGAGGAAAAAGTACATATTTTGTCATTGTGGATGACTACTCCAGATTTACATGGACCTTGTTCCTCAGAACTAAAGATGAGACTCCAGCCGATATAGAGGAACCTGGTCCCTCAATCACAATATCTGAAGCAGAAAACAGAGTTGTGGATGCTGTTGTCGCGCCTCTTTTTTCTCGCGAAATCGGGTTTATGACATTTGGGAGGACAACTCGTTCCCTTTTGGGAATTGGGTTTTTTTATTTGAATAGCCGCCACCTAATGATTAAGTGAATTAGGACACTAGGAAGAATTTGTTTAGAAAAACAGAGTTTGGGTAAGGGCTAGAAATTATCTCGAGGGGAAGGTGTTAGGAACCTCTCAAGATCCACTAGTATGGTTCCCGGCCATGCTACAATTGTGACTTAAGTACAAACAATAAATAAGCAATTAAGGGTTTTCAAATATGAGGGATTGTCACATTGTGATTGCAAATAAGTTAAAGTTTGAAGAAACAAGGAATTTGAAATTTTGAAAGTAATAAAATAAACAAGTAAAGGGAAGGGGGTCCTAGGTTTATAAATAATATAGATCACATCAATGCAATATCCGGTAATCACTCCTCAGAAGAGGGGTTACACGTAGTATTAGTGCACCAGTCATTATATCCATATCTACCTTTTCCCACCCCGTTGAGGTATTTAAACACGGAATGATTTTGTTTCTTATTGCATGCTAGTACCCGCCCCAATCATATCAGTCTCTGAGGCATTTGGGACTACTAGTCCTAAAGGGAAGGGAAATGTGGGTTTTGTGTGGTTTAAAAGGATAAAATTCTAAAGCGGCAAACAAAAACACATAAGGCTGATTATGGGAAACACATAACAATTTAAAATGCTCAGATGGGACTCCTCACTTAAAGACATATTGTTTAGCATGTCTTGCAGATACTGGTTATGGTCTGAATTAAACTTAAACTTTAAGGAGGTAGACTGGTCTATTACACATTTCAGATAAGAAACCGGAATCAGACCTGCCTGCTGGTTGGAATTAATAGAGTCTGATTCAATTAGCTAATTTTACCTTATAACTTGCCTAAGTGAAACCTACAGGCATGACATCTAATAATGCAGAAGTGTACTGATTTTTACAAGAAGAAGGCCTGTTGATTATAGAAAACATAAGTTCTGCAGACATTGAGTAACGTTACTATTGATTTTAGACTTGTAAACGATTTAAATCAGTTGGTTACCCCTATAGACATGCTTTCTAAGCGTTATTGAGTTAACCTTTACGAAAATGCAAAAATCCTATAGGCATGGTGTTTAAAACACTGATTTTTATTATTTAAGACTATAAATGTGTTTGCTTAGTGATAGATGCATATGCATAATTCAGGAAACTCTATAGACATGTTCTCTATGTGATAGGCAGAAACGCAGAAACCTATAGACATGGTCTCTATGTATGAAATGCAGAAGCTATAGACATGGTATCTATGTATGAAATGTAGAGGCTATACACATGGTATCTAAGTATGAAATGCAGAACCTATAGACAGGATTTCCATATGAAATGCAGAACTTGTAGGCATGGTTTCTTATAAAAAATGCAGAAGTGCAGGACTTGTAAACATGATTTCTATATGAAAAATGCAGAAGTGAAAACAGGACATGATTGCAGCAGTAAATACCTATGAACATGATATCTACCCTTATGCATACATGAGTGACCCTCCCCTTTTCACTAAAACCCCATAAGTTATTACAAATTATTACAACCCAGAATGAATAAAGAAAAGTAAAATAAAATTACATCAGAAAGATAAAAATCCCAACCAAGGAGAGCCTAATTCAGACTTCTGTCTGAAGCATGAAGTAAACCAAGTCCAAAGATCAAATTCCAAAGCCTTTCCCCTATTCGGGATGTGTTAGAGTTCCCTAAGAGTCTCAAGTGGACTCCGGGCAGTGCTTACACCCAAATATATTGCAGAATTGAATTATAGTGCAGTGTGGAAGGTCTATCCCTCAAATGTCCAAATTTAGAGGGAGCTCAAGGTCCCAAAGCAAGGCTCATAGGAGGGGGGAAAACTTAGAATCTAAGAGAGAGTGCAAGTGCATAGAGGGGATTTTGGGGAAAGCCAAGACAAGCTGGCGGTCGTACCCAGCAATTGGAAGTGTTGGCACACCCCAACCAGCCTGTTAGCCACATTGTTTGGGAGTTAGGATCCATTAGAGGATCAAGTCCAGACATGAGCAACAATTTGGATGTTTCCATGCTTTGAACTTTAACTCAAACACATAGAAGGGAAAAAGGGTATGGGGAATTCACACAGCAACAGATGCAAAGAGACAACATATTCAATACAAAACATAAACAGCAAAGTAGACAAGATTGTTGAAACTGTAAAGCAAACACATAGGGATGAAGCTGAAAGTTAAATTAGAACATACCAGTTTCAGGGAAATAAGAAGAGAAGAGCAGTAGTAAAGCCAAATTGCAAATAACAGCCAGAAGATTTTAGAAGAGAGTAGAGTGTTGAATTGAAAATGTAGGAGTATTGAAATTGAAAGTGTTCAATAAGTGTTGTCAGAGTATTGAACTCAAAGTCTTAAAGAGTATTAAATTGGAAGTGTTTAAAAGTGCAGAAGGATCGTGCCCTTTATAGTTCATAAAGCAAGTAAGAAAAGGTAAGAAAATAGTTTCGAAATCAATCACGTAAGGTCTCCCTTCAATTAAGGGAATTTGATTTCAAACGGGCAAGATAATTAAGGAAAGGGTTTGATCAAAATATTTTTCAAAGTAGCATAAGAAGGGTAAATACACAAAAGTTATTTAAAGCAAAAGTCCAGTGATACATGGTTTGTGCAAATAAGGAAAGACGATCACTCAACAGCCAGTAAAATCAAAATTGTAGGCTTTGTTCGAATGAACCAAGTCAGGAAAAATGAGGAAAGGATTTTACTTAAGGAAAATCAGTAACAATCAATCAAACCTAATTAAGAGGAATTCCGAATCAATCACAAGTTGACAAAACCTTTTGAAGGAAAAATTCCTCATATATAAAGCATACAGACATGTCGAACAAGAAAGAACTATCATGCGAAAAAACCTAGTATAGAAGAGTTCCGGGTCATAACAAAGAGGCTCAAATACAGTACATAGACTCAAAATGAGTTTGAGAGTGTCTAGGGTCGCAAATAGAACCCTTGTCCAAAACACAAGATCAAACTCGCCAAAAAACCCCCAAAACCTAGGGTTTTCAACTCGAGTCAGATATAGAGAAGAGAAGACAAATAACTGAAACAGGCTCAGAGGTCTCTTTCAGGGATTCATGTGAAAACAAATAGATAAAATAGCAGGTTCAAGGCAAATAGAATGAAGAACTGATTTGAAGCATAAAGAACATGTTTTAAGAAAGCTTGGAACTTAAACAAGTTTCAGAAGAGAAACGAGATAGTATAGCACTTAAGAGAACAGTAGAGGAAACATGTTTAACAAAGAACTCAAACAAAATCCAGAAGAAGGCAACTAAAGACCTAAAAGCTTAGTAGAAAATACAGTTGAGGAACATAGGGGTAAACGAACACATAAGATAAACATGTGAAAGCATGATATAGAAACCAGTAGAAGAAAGAACGGAGCACAATAGAAGGACATGCAAAATAAGGCAAACATAAGAACATAGGAGAAGGACATGCGAGGTAGAAAAGAGAACATAAAAATATAACATAGACATATTCACACAAAGAGAAGAAGAAGAGGAGTCACAAAACATTTTAAAACCTTTTCA